ATGTAAAATTAAAATTAAAAAAACTAATATTTACAAGTAAAATTTTACAAAAAACGTTTTCATTAGACAACAAAAGTAGGGTGACTGACACGGGTAAAAAATTTGGCATGCCATTTGCTAAAATTTGTGCCCGTGTGCCACCCCTGGCATGCCACGGACATGGATAATATGTTATACAAACATCACAAAAAATCTAGATAGATATAGAGTGAATCTTAAGAATACTTTGAAGAATCGCTTAAGTAGATCAATTAAGTTTATTAAAAAACTTGTGGACAGGATAATAATAACTTGTAGTTTTTAAATTTTCTGAAGTTACACTGCTAAGAACTATATTGACGACATTTTTTTTTAATCTGGTGATTGGTGCCTCTGAAATTACATTATTCATTCGTATTTCACTAACTCTAATTGGAGATATTTGTATTTCAAGTTATTTTTTGCTTAAAATTCAAGACAAAATAACTAGGGATTGGAATCAGTTTAGTGACTAAAAAATCTGCATGATAAACTATAAACTATGTTTAGTTGACTAATTAGTCGACTAAACTGATTCTAATCCTTAAAACTAACAATACTGATTTTTTTTTTTAATATTTTTTTTATCTGTTTTTTATAGATTTTAATAACAAATAATACTAATATCTTTTCTTATTAATTTAACACTAATCTCTGAACAATAACAATATTTAACTTTATACAATCTGTAAGAAACCCATGTTTACAGATCTTTAATAATAAATTTAACAAAATTGGAAAATATCATCAATTGACCAATCTTGATTGACATTGATATTTTGTTGAGAATGGAAATCTTTTTCAATCATATTCTGTTCTTCAAGGGTTTTAAAATCAAAAAACTCTTCCATTACCAAATCATTATTATTTGTATCAAAATCTGGTAATTTAACATCAATTTGTAAAATCTCATCTCCATCAAATTTTTCAAAAAAAATATTAATGCTAGCATTTTCTAAATCTATATTATCTGTAGAACTGGATGAAACCTAATTCTTTGTTCTAATTTTCTTTCTTAATACTTTAGGTAATCTTTGCTAAAGATCATGATAGAGCATTCCGAGCATTCTCATTGAGATGTGGATATTCTATTTCTTGACTTTGTTTTCATTAAACCTAAACTAGAAAATAAACACTTAACAGCTGCTATGTATAGAACAATCGCAAAGATCTTCATTGCAAAACATTGAAGGTAAGGAAAACCTTTAGAGAACTAAGCTCAAAAAATCTTTAGATTAATTGATGATTCTCCAGTCAACTGAAGAATGATTATAGTAAAATGTGATGTGGTTCTATATATAAATTACTATAGGTGCGAAAGTAGAAATTTTCTAGTAATTGGTCAAAGAAAACTTTTTTTTTGTATTAAGTTAATCATCTTT